GCCGTTGTCTCGGCCGCTCTGCTCTCCCGGTCGGTAAAGACTACCGCGACCGTACTTGGTGACGTGACGTGACGCGCGCTGCTGGTGCACGCGGATGCGCTTCGAGAGGCACTCTCCCGAGGCCGTCGCGTTGGAAACTCGGAACTCGGGACTCGGACGGGAGGCTACGTCGAGGGTAGGTAGGTAAAAAAAAAAAACCCGCTCTTCACCATCTTCCGGGCGACGTCTCCATTTCATTCATTCGTCGCGTATCGCGAGTGTACGAGTGAAAACACGGATGGCGAAGCACCGGGGATAGAGTGTCTAATAACTACAAGCAAGCGCCGAGGAACGTGTGAGTGTAAAGCCGTATGTGTGCGCGCGCGTGTGTGTGTGTGTGTGTGTGTGGTCATTATACGTGAGTGCACGAGTAAACTCACGAATGGTATCGTATCGCTGATATACAAGTACGTGTGTATGCATGTATGCGCCGCCTTCTCTCGCGCCCTCGGTTTGTGCGTGCGTGCGCGTGTTCAGTAACTCCCGGTGTGGTGTGTCCGTCCACACTGAAAGCGAGTGAACGCGCGCGTGGAGTAGTCGGTCGCACGTTACGAGTTACGACGAGCATCCACACTAACTGCCCTAGGAGTCCGTGTACTATACGACGCCTCTCTCGTCTATTTATACGACGACCATATACTCGCCTCTGCCTCTCTCGTACTCTCTTTCCTCCCTCCCTCCCACCCTTTTCGTTCCTCTTCCTCCATTTTCGTTCCCCTCCCGTCCTCCCGTCTCTTTCTCCCTGCCCCTCCTTTGGCATGCATTAATTCCTTCCCCACCAAACGTCCCTACGGTATATATCGGCTCCTTTTCTTTTTCCCTCGCCCCCTTCGTTTGCTACTTACCTCCCACCTCACTCAGACACCCACATCCTCACGCATACATTCTCATTCTCACTCCTGCCCCTTTCCCCTTCGAGATCACGTCTTTCTCTTCCACCTTTTCTGTTTCTTCCTTCGTCCCGTAACGACATCCGCGAACACGAGCTAGTCGAATCGGTGACTCTCTTTCTCTCTCTTTCTCTCTACACACACACACATTTGTCTCATTCCCTCATTTACTCACTTCTTGCTTTGCTCTCCTCGTACTCTTACATACATACGGAATGCGCCGCCAGGAATTCTCCCTCACAATGGGTTTATTGTGTTAGTGAGAGCAGCTCGAGAGCGCGCGCGCGTGTTTCTCCGGCACGCTCTCGCAAGAGAGAGAGAGAGAGAGAGAGAGTGAGAACGGACGGATACGCCAACGAACGAGAGTGAGTGAGCGAGGAGACGACTCGGAGAACGCGTGTTGCTACTTGCGCATATGTGTGTATATGTGTGCGCGCGCGCGCGAGAGAGTGAGAAAGAGAGAGTGAGAGAGAAAAGGACTTGACTCCGACTCCGAAAGCGCCGTGCGACCGCCGCCGACTCAAGCGAGTCAAGATGGAGCTGCTAGACGCGTCGGGACCGCGCGAGTTTCACGGATGCTCCGGCGCTGCGATTCCTCCGCACATCCCAGCCTCGTCTCGACCAGTCTCGACCGTCAGCCGTTCGTTCTCGCCGTTCTCGCCGCTCTCGCCGTGCGTGAAACAAGTATCTCCGGTGTCTCTCGGCGGAACGGACCCGCTGTATTTTTCGGATGGTAACAGTCACCCTCTTCCACGATCTCTTTGCGCTATCTTTACGCTGAAATTTTCAGTGCTGTGCTCCTCGGAAGTGCGTACGCGTGCAAGTGCCGATCGTGGTTTTGTTCCGACGAAACGATAGCCGCATTGTGATCTCACAGCGAGCTCGATTGGACGCAGTCAGTGCGCACTAGATATATTATTAAAGCCGTTGTACCCTGATCTAATCCAAGTGTAAAAGTTTAATGCAAGCGTTTTGACTTATAAAATACATTTTTATCAAACAGCGCGATAAAGTTGTATTAAGAATTTCGTGATTTAACCCGTTTCTATGATTACGTTAAACACATATCCTTACGTCAAATTTGTATACAACGGCTTTAATATTGTACACCCAATTGAATTTGCTATTAGTTAACAGTGCTCTCTCTTTTTTTATTTTCTTCCCTCCCTCTTTACTTATTTGTCTATAACTGCGTTCAGTAAAAAAAGCAGGTCCGCTATTGTAGAATTATTTAGTACCCAATAATTGATCTTACTCTCGCGTCTCACTGAATTTAAACTCGAAATGCATAAATCAGTTATATTTAAAAAATCTTACGAGTTGCATTGAAAAAAAAATTACTGAATCTTAACCCTTACCGCACTAATATGGGTAACTAGTGACCGAGCGATTCCTGTTCATGCAAGTTTCTTTGAGTCTTTCGGTAATTATAAATTATACTACATTTTATTATTTTCCAAAATAAAGAGTTGATATTTATTCTAGAAAGTTGAAAGTATGTTGGTGAATTTTTAGAGATTTTTAAAATTATTTTGAAGAGGTGAGAAAAAACGAAGAGATTTGAAGTGACCCTTGATGGTATGGATGAGGCACCAAATTGTAGATGGTACGATAAGGATTAATACATATATTTTTTAAATTAATACTAAGTAAACATTTACTTACAATAAGTATAATTTATTCGATAAAAAAAAAGATAGTTAAATTAAATTAATGATTTTTATATCAAATAAATATAAGTTCACATTTAGTAAATACTTACTTAAAACTATTGAGACAAATATCTATTAAAATTTAGCATTTTTTTCAGTATGCAAAGCTGCTTTTTCTGTTGAACGCAACCTATCTTGTGAGTTTCGTCAGGATGGGATTCTTGGTATCGCGCTTCAAGTTTATTGTCGAAAATTCGTTTGTTGTCGAAAATGCGTTTTGTATGACGCTCGACGCATTCTCCAATGATATGCGATATTACGCTTGCCGTAACATGCAATGGTTTTTTCTCTCTTTCTCTCTTTCTCCATTCCTTCGTCTTCTCTTTCTCCATCTCTTTCTCTTTTTTTTTCCACTTTCATAACGAGATTACGCTGCTTCTCTGCAGTGCATCTTTGCGGCCTGGGACAGCGTGCGACGGGTCTCCTCAGTGTCGATGATTACGCTCTCTTTCTCTCTTCTTTTTTTCACACGCTTGCTTGCTTGCTTGTTCTTATGTGTAGGTGGATATGTGTTAATATGAGTGCAATAACGCCTTTGCACGGTGCGATTGATCACGCTGCGGCGAAATCGTCATCGCCAATTGAATGAAAAGTACACTCCCGGTGTGCCGAACGCGATTGAACAACGAAATGGTGATTATCTTCCGTCACGTTGCCAGCTATGAGCGGATTTACCGGTCTGGAATTGTCGTCGATTTGTTCGGTGATCCTTGACGTTATCCGAACGAAAGTAAGTTTTCAAAACTTTGTTGTCACCACGAAACACCTCGATCTTAAGTTATACACATGTCCCCCGTTCAAGATCTCGTTGATCGTTACCCTCCTCCGCGTGAAATAATCGACAATGAGATGAGAACATCCCTGTGCTATGTACAATTATGTATGCTATTCCCGATAGTAATTCCCTCGACGACCCATGATGTATTAAAAAGGTTTCTTTGTTACACTTTATGTTACTACAAGATATTAAAACCACACTGTTATATGGCTTCGTTCAGTGTGATTCAAGTGTAAATAATCTCAGTTCAACCGCATGATTCTTCCATCTTTTTCGCTCTCTCTCTTTCTCTCTCTCGACTTATCTCCGTCAGAGATATAATCGTAGCTATAGAAATCGAGCAATGCTGATGAAACCGATTATTAATCGTCTTTGTTGGCCATTTCCTCGACGGTGATCTCGACCGAACGGAAATTGGAAAAACGGTCCTTCGGGGTTCGCGAAAATACCGTGTCGCGATGGTGTTATTCGCGTACCCGAATCGAATCGTGCCACCTCGATAGCCAAATCCGCGGGTGTATTTTCGTCCGATAGCCGACGGAAAGTTCAAAGTTGAATCACTCACGATCAACGATAAGATTATGACGCCACGCGCGCGCGCAGGCATATCTACGGCTCATCTCTTCCGCGCTTTCTTCCTCTTCTTCTTCTCCAACGAGTGGCGAATGGCGAGATGTCCGAATATTCATAGTTCGGGTTCATTGATCTGTCTGATCAGGTTGATTATGGAATATAGATGCTTTCTATTTGGTATCATAAATCGATACAAGAGTCATTCTATCTTTCTTGGCGTCAGTGAGTAACAAAGATACCCTTACGGAAAGAGACACTGAAAATTTCGAAAAGACACTGAAAATTAAGTGTTAACACTCAACTTTGAGTGTTAACACCTAATTTTCAGGTGTTAATACTCAAAATTGAGTGTTAACACTTAATTTTCAGTGTTTTTTTCAAAATTTTCAGTGTCTTTCCGTAAGGGTAGAACGATACGATTCACGATTTTGCTAAAGTATCTAAAAATTTAGCTAGATACAGATCTGAAAATAAATTTTGTTGGACCATCAAATATGTAGGACGCTGATTGTTAGAGTATCAAAATTGTTTACGGCATTGCTCATTATGCTTGAGTTTTCTACATAAATATTTTGATGGTCCAATAAAGTTATTTTCAAATCCACATCTAGCTAAATTTTTAGATATTTCATCAAAATTGTTCTTTCCGTGTCAATTTGTGTCACTAATGCTTATTTTCACCAATGTAGATTAACTTTAATCTCGGTTCAACCTACTCTTCATCTTTTTCTAGTTCTAAAAATTAGAAAAAGATGAAGAGTAAGTTGAACCGAGATTAAAGTTAATCTACATTGATGGAAACAAGCATAAATGGAGAGAATCCACTGTTTTAATACTTGGACCGGTCGACTACTTATTGCTCAAGTACGTACTCAATTTCAGTTGTCAGTCATTACGTGAAAACATGCAAGTCTAGATAGATTGCATGGAGAATCAACAAAACTAACAGCGAGATTAAAGTTTTGAATGAATGATAGTCTCTAAAAGAAGCAAGCCAGTCAGTCTCTAAAAGAAGCAAGCCAGTCTAACTAAAATTGTCTTTGTACTTTTATAATTAGTTATCTTTGTTAGCCTATTTTTGTCAACCGTTTTTATATATACGTTAGTTTATAACTTTGAAAATGACCCAAAGGGGGTCGAAACGTTAGTTTTATGTGGGCATATTTTTATCTTGTTTTTATTTTTGTTATT